AACAAAAATCTCCTTGGCGTTGAAGCGGTAGCTGTCATGAGCGCCATATGAGCTAGCTGTTACTCAAATCGGCCATCCACTTTATTAGGGATAGTCGAAATTGGTTGTTAGACATGCAGCTGCATCCCCGACTGCATTTGCATCGTGTTGAAACACTCTAACTCGGCTTTTTGGAGGGCTCAAGTGGTCTCCCGTCGGCTTTCAATCTTCAGAAGCTCACACTTGCATCCCCGGCCTGCCGCTCTCCTTTCCCCGGTAGCCACCACTTCGTCAAGGAGAGCAAACAATGACCAGGGCCTTGAGCCCCCCGGCATTCAAGCACCCCTTCCTGGCGCTGATTCTGTAGCTGCAAATCATTTCGGATGTTCTGTGCCATGGACCATGGCTAGTACCTGCGTTTTGTCTCCAGTCAAAGGATCGGCATGACGAAGCAGAACATTACCAGGGTACATGCACACCGCCAAACCTTCATCCCAAGAGTGATAGGTACTGTAACGTGGAAGAGGCTCTTCTTTGTCTTTGTGCCACGGTAAGTAGACCATTAAAGCACTCGTTTACCGTTTAACTTAGCCGTTATTTGGCACCTACGAGCCATATATGATGGGCCTGAAGGTAACGATGTGCCTCGTACAAAGAGATGTTTTCCAGAACGAGGCTCACAAAGACGGCTCGACTCAAATCTCACGCGAGATAAGAAGTCGTTCAGATGTTACGCTTCATTGCACCGCCAGTGGGTCGCGCGTTGACGGAAAACTCCATAGATTGCTTCAAGAATACTTGCACTCCCTGGCTATTGAGACTTGAGTGTGATCATAGCCGGCACCAGTAGGAAGCAGTACGAGATCGTCATGATCACAGTTGCTTGACAACCCCGAATATCTCACGCCCATGCCATGGAGCAGGGGAGTCAGGGGTGCATCCCAGCATCTTCTCAACATTCTGGCGCTAGACTTGTACAGGCGCCAGTACCTGGGGCTGGCCTTTATTTCTAGAAATGCACGAGACGGCGGTGCAATGGAGTGTTGAGACAAATATTCTGCCACGCCCCTCAAATTTTAATCGACAGCCTCCTGTAAACCGTGCACTCTTTTGACTCGCATCCACACAGGCAAGATCTCGAAAACAGGGGAACGAAAAAGACAACGGCCGCCTAGATCCGAGGAACAGTTCCAGAGCTCGTTTCCGAAGCCAGCCCAGCCCAGCAGTTGTGCGGATATGGTAAAGGCCTCCCCTGATGGGTCTGGGATCTGGGATGCCCTCCCCAAGCGCCCAAGAGATTCCCTTCTTTGATCCCTGTCTCACCTCAAAACCAGCGGGGCTCGCTTGAACACACATCTGATGTTGATAACTTTGTGCTCGCTGACACCGCACTCAGTCCGCATGAGCTCGCTCAATTCTCATGAGCCAGCTCATTGAGCGGAGCCGAGGCGCGCTCTTCGTCCACTAACATTTCTAGGTTCACTTCGATGACAACCTGTACTGCACGGAAGAGCTCAATTTCAAGGCCGGTAAGTCCGTAGCGGGGCCTCGTCGTGAGAACGAAGTCGTAATTCCAAGAAGTTTGGAGTACAGGTGGTGTGGCTGGTTGTCCTATGGCGCCACAGTTACAATATGAGGCGGTGCGGTGCGTCATTAATCCACTTCGAGACAGACGACAAAGTCGCATTGCATCCCTTTTAGCTTGGCATTGCCCGACGCCGTAGACTACGGGCGACGCTACGATGTCCCGCAGAGCAATTGAGCGGATGGCTCCCCATTGACATCCATCCATCGCCAGCTTGCTCAAGGGGTTTGGGATCAAGGGGGGGTGGTGGATGCAGTAATCTTGGGGTGCTTCTGGCTCATGTTGAGAAAAGGAGGAAGTGCAGAGCAATCAAGCATAATTTCTCGCGAACTCGGTAGCTCGGAAACCATATTGAGGTGTCGAGGAGGGTATGTTGCGCTGGCTAGCATTTCCCGGCACGCACATATGCACGGAGTGTGTATGCGTGTACATACTGTAGTAACCCCTGGTCCAAGATCCTGGGCCGAGCAGGCGAGTTGCAGTGCTTCCACCTACCAGGCGCCGAAGCCCATGCCTGGCCCTGTGGTGCTGCGCTCGCGGGTATAAGAGGTGTTATGCGATGGACATACACTAGGTACTCCGTATGAATGGATGGTACAGCCGGGAGCCTCCCCGACTGTAAATCGAGAGAAGTCAGGTTCGCTGTGATGCTCCTTTGATTCATCTTCCAGCCATAATCCCTTTGTTTCGTTTCCTCGCTCACACCCCTGTCCTCCTCTACCGAGCCACCACCTCCGGCTTCGTGCCCGTCGCTAGCGTCATTACCATGGCTTTTACTGAACAGAAGCGAAACTGAAATTCGGGTTTCGAGAATGAACAACCAAGGTGGAACCATGAGTAGAACTCCGGGTCCGTTGTTGTTGTTTTTCTTCTTCTTGCTTTTTGCCTCTCTCCGTCACATGCCACCTAACCGAGGAACCAGTCAAAGCCTGATTGATGATCAAATGGCTAGCTAATTTGTCAGTCGCGTTTCATTAATTGATTCGGAACGTACACGACTGATGCAAGGCCGGGTAAGCTGGGTAGCTATTCCTGGCATTGGCCCAATCTTCTACTCCGTATCTACCTAGGTAGGTAGATTAGTAGTTAGCTTGTAAAGCGGGCCTCGTCATCTTGCTGAGATCTTTTTTCAACCTCTGTTTAGGGGGGAAAGCTTGACGTAAAGCATAGAATGGCGGTCATAACTCGGGTATCCGAGAAATCTCAGAGCCGTGTCTTTGTGATATCTCGGGGACATATTTTCGGCGCGGTGGTATTTCTCCGCAACTGAGCTACCATCTGAAATTCGATCTGAACCACTCGACTCTCACCTTCGAGCTCGCTAAGCCTTAACAAGGGCGTGTAGCTAAGAAGATCTTGTGCTGGTGCTAGTGGACCGTTTCTCCAGACAAGCCCGCCCGGTCGATCTGGGCGAACCGTCCGCATGGGTACCCGCAACCCTAAAAAGGTATGGAAGGCAACCCTGAATGGTCATCCTCTACTGTCATTGAGCTTGGGGTGCTTGCTACGGATGGACTTGGTGCTTGTGCTGGAAGGGGTGCGGCACGCCACACTCTTGCCAACGCCCTCCGTCCACCTCCAAGACGGACGGCGGTTGGTTTTTTTCTTTTTTTTTTTTTCTCTTTCTTCTTTTCCCCAGGGTACATTGATATTTGGATTGATGCTGCATCACGGCGGGCGGATGATCATTGCCTTTCCGCGGACCCAGTTGCAGTCCTTTTAGTGCCAGAGTACAAAACCGGCCCCTTGTTCAAATTGCGGTAATCAATCCCTTATGGGTTTAGCCATGGAGGTAATATTTCTTCTTCTCATTCGACTCAATGAATGAATGTGAAAAGATCTGGGGGCCGCGCGCGTCAATCTTTGAAAAAGCCCCAGTGATGCTATCGTCACCGTCATACGTCAGTGATGGCTCGACAATCGATCAAACCCAGCCGAATAGCAATCGCTGGTGCATCTATTGGCTAGGTATTGATGCTTCGGACAGGCCTGTTAATTTTAGTGCTGGACCCAGGCTAGATGAGACGTTTGGACTTGAGGTCCACGCCCGTGGGGAAGCGAGATATCATCAGAGATCCATCTATCCTTATCGCCATACCCTTTTTTTTGTCTCTTTGTCTCGCTCTCTCTCAAGGTTCAGGGACTCGCTGCCTTTTCTTCGGGGGACTCGACCAAAATGAGACTGAAGAATTCGAGAGGATGAAGCGAGGGAGGGGTGCAGGTAAGTCTGCGGGGTAGTCAAGCTAACTCTGTTGTCCCCTGCTGTCTCTCGCCGACAGCAATGACATCCATCAAAAAGACATGGCACGGGTTTCTTCTGTACAGGATACACGGCTCCAAGGGTCTGGATCGCCTGTGGCAGGCCCAAAAGCGAACAAGCCTCAAGGAACAGGAAACCCTTGTGCTATGCGGGCCTGTGCTGGGCTTGACTGGGCTACCTCGAGCCAGGGACGTTGATGGGAGTCTAGTCACAGCGGAAGAGGCATTGGAGCGCCGGGCGGTGCAAATGGAAGACCGGCGCTGGTTGAGCTGAGCTGGGCTGAGCTGGTCTAAGGCCAAGGTGCCGCTTTGCACGTCAGTCGGCTTGCATCTTCCTTTTTGACGGATGCTCCTGGGCCTGCTACTCCCCTTTTGCTCTGTGCTGTGCTGTACTCAGGGCTGGGGTGAGCTGGGTTGGGTTCTATGGTGGATGGATGCCATCATAATTCACCCCTCCCCCCTGGGCATATCTACCTTAGTTCTTCCTCCCCGCTGTCCCCTCCCCTCTCCTCTCCGTGCTCGGCTGCTCACCACTCACTCACACGCAACTTTTTTTTTTACTGTTACTTGATTACCGTATCGTCATATTGTCGGTACCTTATTTTTTTATTTCCCCCCCGCTCTCTATGCTCGTGCTTGATACATCCATCCCATCCTTTCATCCCAAGTCTATCGAGTACCTTAGATATAAACTCGTTCACCCCCTTACAACTCCTTACTTTGACTTCATCCCATCACTCACTTACCTTCGACGCATTATCTTACCTCATATTCTTGCTCCCCCTAGCTACCTTGCCTTACGCCGCAGCTGTTTGCCCATCGAGCTCTTACGGGTGCTGTCCCTCCCCCACCCACTGCCGCCGCCTCTACCTATCTCCTCCAGCTCTCGCCCACTTCCTCCTCGCTCTCTTCTGTGAGCTGAACACCGCTTCTCGACTTCTTTGCTGCATCACTTCCAGCTCATGCTGCTCGGACCCTTCTTTCGTATCCATTTTTATATTATTATTCACATCGGTCGTTGGCAGAAGCCGTATTCGTTCGCGTCGTCGTTCGGATCCGTTCGTCACTATCATCACCACCGACATCGCCGCCGCCGCCGCAATCGCTTCATTCATAGCAATCTCGGTCTTCCTACCTTCGATCTATAACGCCCGTCCAATATCGCCCTTCAATAATCATGTCTTCTGTCGTCCCTCATCAGGGTTCGGCCGTCGGGTACGTTACGCTGCCCGATGAGGAAGCACGTCTTGGACGTTCTCGGTATTAGGTGACGAAGAATGCAGCTAATAGATATGACGACGGCAGGGTTGTGTTAGAAACTCGCCAAGAAGCCCCGGAACTGTCAGAGAGCCGTGTGACAACGTACTCTCACGACAACGTCTTTGCCTGCATCCAGTCTCGTGGTGCCAACAATGGGCACGTTGCTGGCGGTCAGCCTCGGGAACACAGCATTGTGAGCCTGGAAGCCGACATGGCCAGGTTCCAGTCGATGAATTCTGTCGTTACTGTTCCGTCAAACTCAAACTTGGCTGGTATTGGTGCACAGTTTGAGGGATTGTCCCGAGGTTCGTTGCCAGTTCCTGTCCCTAGACCTTGGTCATAAGCTAACAGGAGGGGCTCCAGACTAGCCGAGTTGGTTCGTCCCCAATACACTCCCTGAACATTACTCAATAAGGTAGGTTTGTGCGTTTCGTTGACTTTTCTTTCCTTGACTTGCTTGCTCGATTTTCTAATAGACGGCAATTTTCTGTCCGTGGTTGCCGCAATCTCCAAATCGTTGATCTGAATCAACTCTGGGAGGCTACTGTCGAGAGGCGTATGAAGCTGGGTCTACAAGACCAGCAATGTTGATGTGATATAGAAACCTTCAAGGCGGCATTACTGCGTATGCAAGTTGGTCGAAGTGATTCTGTTGATCAGAAGCCGCCAGGAGGTTGAAGCATATACCCTCCCTTTTTTCTGTTTGTAAATACTATACCCATTTTGCTTTCTGTGCGACGGGAAAGAGGTCCTGTTTTCATCTTCCTTGCATCGCTCTTACATGTTTGTTTCTTTGCTTCTTCTCCTTGTCGTGTGGATTTTGTTTGGAGTGTTTCAAATTCTGTATTGCTGCTGTTATCTTCTCGGTTGTTTGCTGGCGTTTAGAGCACTGCAGACCGCTTCTCCAAGAAGCAGCGGTATTGAAGTGCATGGGCGTGGAATGAAGGAAGAAAATATGCCCCGAATAACCTGATACCATTTTGGGATCGCAACATGTGGCACGAGGGAATGCTTATTCTTCTCATTGCGTGAATCGTTCCCTTGTGTCCCAGTCGGCATGAATCTCATGAGGGTACGTCAGCATATCGCCCAGAGCCCTCACGCCGCGGGCGGCACAGGTCGAGGCAGCATAAGACCCGGTTGCGCAAGTCTCATGATGAAAAGACTCAAGACGATTGACGACGCACGTTTCCTTGCGGAAGAGATGAGAAAACTAAGAATGATGAGGGACAAAGCATGGTTACTGAGAGGGGTTTGGGCTTTATCTATTTGTGGGCGGCTCAGTCATCAAACAGCCAATCAGGCTAGAGTTTTCTTGACATTAGGCCCCAAAACCCATGGATAACAATGCATCATCAATCACGAGCATAATCCTCAGGCTTCCTGAGGCATACTCTGTGGCCAATTATCTCCTGGCAGATCATCAAGGCTCTCCTCCATTACAAGGAGTAGCCCTGTGAAGCTCCATTCATTGGCTTCAGTCACTCAAAACAGCTGGCCTCATTTTGAGTATTTTATCAAAAGTACCATCTCAGGGGAGCACGGAAGAATGGGTTTACATGATTCATGGGTTATTTGTCATTTTGGAACATCTCCTTCTTGTATCGAAGTGTAAAGTTTACGACATGTTGGGTTTATTGTGCTATTATAGATTGGTATCGTTCAGAGCACTGAAGTATATTGCATTATACAGAGGTAGACAAGCATTAATTATAAATAAGAAAACATAATGTGGTGGGCATGGGTGTTCCTATACTCCCAAATTCGGTGAAGCATTAAGCATTCATCTCTCGAAGCAGCATGACTTCACGACGTATTTTGTCATCGTCTCATCATGACTTCCCCAAATGCGTGATCAAATCTTGCGAGATGTCCAAGCCCGACCCTAGGGCGGTACGTCTCGACAACCACTTCGTGGCTTTACAATCACCGCTTGCAAAGCCATTTCTCGTTTGAGCAGCCTTCTCGTAAATTTTCACATTTTTCCGCCAGTATACAGCAATAAATTTCTTTCGCAATCTCGTAAATCCTAAAGTCCTGCTCATTCCGTCACGCTACTCATCATAGCCAAGCGTGTTGCTCACTTCTACTATTGGCTACACCATGAGCGACACGCTTTGGCACGCTGTCATTCATCAAAGCGCCGGGCGCTAATAAATCCTGTGATTCCCAAGAGGAATGTGTAGAATATCCCATGGCTGTCATAAACACCATGCGGTCCTATCATCTTGAGGGCTGCAGTGAGCAATCCCTAGTGTTTCTGGTTTACCACTCCCTGGCCGTCTCGATTTCAGCCAGATATATGGGCTTGTGCTCATGCTATAGGCACACCGGACGCATAGCTATGTGCTCATGAAACTGAAGTCAAGAGACTGGTAATTCCATAAATTGGCCAATTCTCCCAGCTCCTCGTCTGAGATGTTCGCGAACACAGGGCCCTCAGGGGGCACATCAGCCGGTACGAAACCTGTTGGGTTTTGCATGTACAATTGTGGCTGCCAGTCAGAACATGGTGCAGTAGCAGCGTACGCAATGGGAGGCACAAAGTCACCACCCACGACTGAAACACCTCCCAAGGTATATACTGGAGACACTGCCCCTGGCGTAGGGATAATGACAGGAGAAGGTGAGAAAGTTGCCGCCGGAGGGGAATTTTGGGAATTTGATACGCTGCCAGGCGATAGTGTTTGTGGCGATGCAGCAACTTCTGGGGGAGCTTGGGGTCTCGAGGGCACTGGGCTTCTGCTAGCCATGTTATGCGCTGTGGTTGTTGGCCGTGGGAGACGCTGAACGATTCGAGTGAGGATACCGTATGATGCCTTGGCTGACTTGGTCACTATCCTAAGCTCCTGTAACATAGCATGCGCCCCATCGATGGCTTTGTAAACATCGTCTCGTCGAGGAAGTGTATGATGCTCATCATGAAGAACTGCGGAGCATAAGACTGTCGAGATGTCGAAAATACAAAACAGAACAAAATGGAACTTCGCATCTCGGGGGTAGACATATTTGAAGAATCTACGCAAAGATGCCATCAGTTCTAGACAATAGTTGATGCCGTCGCTGCGTATTTGCAGCTCTGCCTCTAAGGATCGTATTGCGAAGGGTCTCGTAAGGAAACCACGGATAGGCTGTAGAAGCATTGAAAATGCCACAGTATGCAGTATATGTCTGTGGAGTACCATCCAGGGATATGAAACATCTGAAGATGTATCCGGATGTTGGACGTTGAAGGGGGGCGGAAAGGTTGCCATCCATGTCTCAATGATGCCCTGGTATTCCTGGACATCTGCATGTGTCATGACGTTTTTCGGCGAGCCGAATCTTCTAGAAAGTTGTCGTATTACGCTGCATTGCATCTTCATGTGTAATAGAGGCGAGTATTCGCATCCTTCCAAGCCGAGACTTGGAAGGCTGGCATCGCAGTCGACTCGATCGATAATCATAGGCCTACCCAACAGTGTCGAAATCTGCCTTTGGGAACATAAGTCACAAGCTATTGAGCCGCGTGGAAGATCACATACCAGTCCCAAGTGTCCAGAATGCACCAGATTCTCCGTCTTAGTTCCAAGTCAAATTCTGAGATGGGGCCTGCCTTGCCTTCTTGATGGATGGCTGTGACGAGGTCAGCTGTCTTGTCAAGTTGCCAGCTATACACAAGCATACATAGTTCTTGGGCCTCTCGAATAGCAGAGTTCAAAACATGCCAACATTCGACAAAACGGGCTTCGGCTTTGAACCAGTAACAAGAATGCAGGAGTTGCTGAACATTGATAACGTGGCCATGACCGAGGGGTATAGCGCTTCCCAGCTCTCGAGCAGCTTCATGAAACCGCTCACTTATACGCTGTATCGGATCGCCAAGGCCAACCTCAAGATTCCGTTGCAATTCGACGTCGGTATACTGCGAGGCACATGCGCAAATTGTTAGGAGAAGGCAGGTCAATTGGACGCTAAGAGGGCGGTTCTCGGTTCGGGATGTCCACCACAGTTGATACTGCTCTATGAAAGATGGCGGATAGACGATATAGTAGTGGTAGTTGACATTGCTGAGGAAGTTTTGGACAAGTGTGTCTGATATCGCAGTTGGCTAGATGTTCTCACGTGTTTTGCTGACAGTACATACCGGTAAAAGGCCTGGCAGGAATGACTCTTAAAGCTCTTGCAAGCTGTGGAAAACTTCTAGGGTCCTTCACAAATTCTTGTGATGCACTCCTGGTGGCCTGAAAGCAAGCATATTGTTAGAATTGGGTCAAACAATTGAGAAAATGTTACGAACCTCGTGTTCCGACGCCAGATCAAAAATAAGATTGGGAGGCATATAACCCAAGGTGTCGATACCATCGCTTCTTGTGCCTTCAATGTCGGGTTCATCTCCTGAGTCTGGGCCGGTTTTGTTGTTGATGCGAGTCTTTCTCTGCCTATCCAAGGCAACCCTGTCTGCAGTTGGTTGGTTGGCGTCCTTGAAACGACATTTGTCGGCCACCTTGCGTTTCTGACATCCGCTGCATGGCCACTCACGGTTGCACTGGGTATATGTTTAGCAGTTTTAGCACGAATACATAGCAACTTGCCGGCCGTTCTAGAAATAGCCAAGTTTGGGGTTTGTTACCCTTTGCTTGCGGCGTGCACATTCTGTGCATGCAGATCGATAGCTGACTTCTCGTCGCTGGGCCCCTTCTCCCATGGCAATGGATTATAGAGCCGTCAAACCGAGGATCGGTGTTCCGCATAGATATAAGTTTATCGATTAAGAGTAAATGTGGAAACACGGGATATGTGTGATGTTATTGTTACTTTTGGGTAAACGCAGAGTATTCTGTGAAAAGAACCAATATGACAGGAGCCTCAAAACAAGATGAATAGAAACGACCATAACACCGACAATAGAAAAGGCGAATAATCATGTTGATGGGTTCCGAGTGGAGAAAATGCTGCTTGAACGTTGTTAATAAGATGCATTTACTCGCCTGCAGATCAATCAAGTGGGTGGGTGGCTAGGTGGCACAAGAGAAGAGAAGAGATGCATCACTCCGGGGGCCCGTTCCATTGCTAATTTCGTGCCGAGGGTTTTGCGAGTCGGCGGTTATTCGAAGCGATGGGTCCTAACGGGACCAGCGGAGATAAGCGAGGCGATCAAGTGAGACTGTCAGATGGAATATGCTTAGTGATTGTGATGCCCCATTCCAACATGCATCTCCTTGATTCTTTGTGGCTAATCGCCTGAGAACAAATGGCTATCGCCAGCATGAAACCATAGTTTGGAAAACCATTTGGTTCTTCTCATTGGCCAATGTTGCTTTGTTGCAATCCGACTTCTTGAATTGACTAAAAGAAGCAAAT